GGGTGATGTTGGGGCGGGGGGGGCGGGTGACTGTTTCTGGTTTCAGTGTAAGGAGAGCCTAGATCACAGCTGTGCCTTGTCCTTTTAACTGTCTTGCTTTGCTTTTGCCGGGAGGGAAATCTGGGGCTCTGATTACATCCCACGTGACTTAGCCAGAGATGAGAGGGGAGGGATAGTTCAGTGTGTGGCATCTGTACGCTCGCATCTGAGCACCGTGGTAATGTGGAGGAGCAAGGTGGGTGCCTTGGGGGATTAGAAGTTTTCAGTGAGGGTTGAGTCCAGGCATCTGAATTGAGTTTAGAGGATAAACAAAAGTTTGTGTTGTGTTTTGAAATCTGAACTCTTATAAAACATTTGTTCTTTTTAAGTTTTTCTTCACATACCTAGTTCCTATTAATTGTGTTCCTTTTCTCTTCCAACAGAAATGACACCAAAGAAGATGTATTTGTGCATCAGGTATGAGGGGTAATAAATGTTACATTTTATTTGTGAAAAGTGGGGTGTCGGTAATGTGCTGTTTCCCATTCCCAGAGGTAGTCATGGACATCATCATTCTACCCTAAACTCTTTGTTTAAATTTTTTATTTTGAGAGTGTGTGTATTAGAACTGGGAACAGTGAAACAAGGAAGGGCCTAGGACAGTGGTCGGCAAACTCATTAGTCAACAGAGCCAAATATCAACAGTACAACGATTGAAATTCCTTTTGAGAGCCAGATTTTTTAAACTTAAACTATATAGGTAGGTACATTGTTATTAACTTAATTAGGGTACTCCTAAGGCTTAGGAAGAACCACACTCTAGGGGCCAAAGAACCGCATGTGGCTTGCGAGCCGCAGTTTGCCCACCACGGGCATAGGATGATAGAAGCAGTAACAGGAGAGCCTGGGCTGGGCTGCTTTGGCTCTGCCGAAATGTTATGGGAAAGAAGTGAGCCAAGGCGGGGCTGCTGTGGGACGAGCTGCTGCCGCCCATTGCTCCCCTGGTTACAAGTGTCCTGGGGTCCCTTACGGTTTAGGAGATGTGTGCCTGTGGGGGAGGGGCAGGGAGAGGCGTGGGTGTGCTCCTGGGAGGAGAATGCACACTGCCCTAAACCCTTTCTGTGGTTCTCATTTTGGCAGGAGAACTCAATCCCACATGTTAAGATGGGCAGATAAGCGCTTCTGTGCCATCATAGTAACTGTTTTCAAACAGTTTTTATTTTCGAATGGCATGAAGTAATATTTAGTTAGGCCACTTTTTAATTTTTGAGCCCTTGGAGTCCTTAGCACAAACATTGTTTCTGTGGTTGGGTGTTCTACCCTCCGGACTGTGTGGTTCCCCCTAGCGTTTGGCCAGAACCCGTTTGGCTTTTGCCTGGGTGGGTGTTGGTTGAAGCTCCTCTATCAGAGCAGCTCTAACTTGAAGTAAACAGCACAGCAGCAAAGCAGATGGTTAGGGTGTGTGTGTGAGAGGTGAGGAAGCTCCCCATTCCCGGGACTCGTCCTCGCCCCTGTGAAAGGTAGGCATGGTTAGCACATGGCCAGGTCGGAAGGCCCACGCTGCCCGAGGAGCGAAGCAAATGTAGAAAATGGGTAACACATGGGAAATATGGGCGTCGCTGCTCCAGGATCTCAGTCTTCTTGACATCAGTAGCCTAGGATGTTCTTCATTCTATTACTATGTATCCTGGACTTACTTTACAAAAGAGGTGAAAAGAAAAAAATACCCACCCTTACTGTTTTTTGTATATTCAGTTTCCAATGAATTGCCCCAAATATGTGTGTAGTTCTTAGTGTATAGCAGGGAAGCAGAGAGGCATGTACTACCACCAGCATATTTACCTCCAGGGCTCTGTCAGGCACCTGGTTTTCAGTGTTTTTGTTCCCTTCTGTTCAGGGGTGTGTGTGTATTATGTGTGTATGTATGTGTGTGTGTTGGGGTATGGTGACTGGAGATAGTGATAGTTAAGAAGAAGCTCTCTGGTTGTGGTTTTTATTGTTTACATGTCCACTTGACTGGATATATTTCAGTTGTGCCTAGATAACTTGGGTAGATTTTTGTTGTTGTTCACATACATTGACTTTTAAAGTCATAGCAGACTGACAGGCAGTGTTGCTTATAATACCAAGAGGTTAATAGACCTGTTGGGGAAAGAACTCTGCGTTGGGTGACTGCTGGAGTAAAAGGACCTCACAAGTTTCTGTGCTGGTGGCCAGCTCTGTTGGCCTGTGAGTGAGCGTGTGACCTGATTCCAGCCCCTGTGAGGCTGTGTGGTGAGTCACCTCCCTGTGTTGAGGCCTGCCTAGTCTAACAGGAAAAGGGGAAGGAGCCGGCAGGGAGGGGCTGGCTTTGGAATGGCTGAGTGTTCAGGCGGCAGGCTGCGTGCGCATATATCCTGTCCTGAACTGCCTTTTTCCTCTGTGGGTGAAGTCTCTGCTCTATTGGCTCATTCTTTTATTTTTTTCCCCTCCCTCCTACTCAAGAGTAAGGGAAGGGCTGGATTACACATGCCTAATCGCTTTATAAAATAAGGTTGACCTAGTTCCATAGAAACTCAGAGCCCCTTTAACTATTTAGAGATACCAGCTAGAGAAATGGAAATTCATTGCAGGAGTCATTCCACTTCCCTCTACTGGTTGAAAAAGAAAGGTCTGTTCACGAGCAGATGTTTAGGTGCGGATGTTTAATGCAGGGTAACATCTTTATCAACCTCTTAATGTATTGTCAGGGACACAGCATGGTGTGGTGGGGAAAATATTGAAAACATATATAGATGCAGTACAGGTATATGAGTTCCTCCACTTACCCTCCATCCACCCTCTCCCCTGCTGCATCTTGAATATGACCTTGGATACATCACTTTTAGCCTCATGTTTCCTCATCCATAAAAGGAAGGGCAGGTTGGGGGAAAGACCAGATTATCAGCAATGTTCTGATTCCCGAGGTAACTTTGCATATTTTATCAGAAATATTTACACCTTGGCATTTTCTAATTCGTTTTTCCTGTTCATCATTCCTCCCCCCTGCCCCTTCACACATATTCTTTAATATTTTTTTAAAATATATTTTTTATTGATTTCAGAGAGGAAGGGAGAAGGGAGAGATAGAAACATCAGTGATGAGAGAGAATCTTTGATTGGCTGCCTCCTGCATGCCCCCTACTGGGGATCAAGCCTGCAACCCGGGCGCATGTGCCCTGACTGGGAATCCAACCGTGACCTCCTGATTCATAGGTCAATATTCAACCACTGAACCACACCAGCTGGGCTCTTTAATACTTTTTGAGGTTAGCAGCTTCTCTTGTCTACAGAAACCTTTATACCTAAAGTGTGTGTGTGTGTGTGTGTGTGTGTGTGTGTGTAAGATTTCATAAAGGCATCCCCACTCCTATTCCCACTCCCACTGATAGAGCCTACAGTCTGAATCTCCAATGATTACTAGTTTGAGGGAACTAATATATCCAGTATCACGACTAAGTGTTCAGGCTGTAACAGAATACAACTACACATTGTTTTTTATAGTGTTTTTTGTTTTATTATTTTAGAGATTCAGGTTAGTAGGAGAATGATAATTAAAAAAGTGTAATAGGTCACGTGTGTCTTCAATATACCCTGTAAACTTGAAAGCAGTGAAATGTTACCAGTACTGACATATACTTTACTTCGAATGTCTCTTCTTATAGACTGCCATCAAGAAGAATAACCCACGAAAATACCTGCGCAGTGTAGGAGATGGAGAAACTGTAGAGTTTGATGTGGTCGAAGGAGAGAAGGTGAGAGGGTTGTGGTTGGGTCTCAGAGTGTGGACACTTAGTTTTCTTGCAGAGTAAATGCTCTTTCAGCCCCTTATGAACTCTCATTACTTTGGATGTTTTTGTGTTAACAGGAAGAAGTGACTTTTAAGTAGAAATATTTTTGATTATTGGATATCATTATAGCATTCTTTGATATATATTATAAAAGGATGTTTTAATTTCTCATTGAATAAATGATGAATCCTATTTAATTATGGAAGGAAAAGCAAATTTTAAATGGGATGAAATTTGACTTGTTTTATACAAATAAAATTTTCAGGCTGTGATTTTTAATAATACAAGTAATACACAGTGAAGAATGTTTTAATCTTCATAAAAGAAGATTTCAATTGAATCTTTAAGTTAGATTTTGGAAAGCTGGAGGCTTTTTGATAGACTGTATAACAACTTTATTCTGATGAAGCTAATTGATCATCTTGAAATGTACCTGGATTTTTTTTTAATGCTGTTATATTATTTAATTCCAATATTAGTAATGTCCATTCTGTTTTGCTTTTAGACAGCAGTCTACTATAGATATCAATAAAACACCATAGCATTAAAAAAACATCCTAAAGCCATATATGTTACAACCACCGTGGCATTTAATCATGCCAGCTGAATTATAAACTAATAATGGAGTGAATCGCTAGTTAACTCCCCGCATGTGCTTTTCCTACACACATACATACATACCATTCCATACTCTGTATTTTTAGTCACTCCCAACCTGTTCTGTTTTAAAAGAAAAACTTTATTTCATTTAACATAGCAATTTAAATGATGTCTTTACTGATTTGATCCCCATGGTATCTTGCAAATCTCTTGGAGTTTTGAATCATCCACCAACAAATGCTGGCCTGTAATGATCTCTAAAATTTTGCTTTGTCAGGTTTATTTTATTTTACCTCTGTATGTTTTGTCAGGTAATTTTACCTCTTTGTTTTCAGAACTTGAGGTTTTACAAATTGATATAGTGTGAAATACACTCTTTTGAGGCTTTAATTTTTTATATGCTTGCAGCATTATTTTATTCATTTGTAAGAGAATAAGAATGCTAAGTCTGCTCAGAGGAGAACAGGAAGATCTAAAGAGGGACGACATGTATGGAAACTATTACTAAATCCAAGGGCCCTTCTTTCCCGTTGCTCCCAAGTTTCGCTCTTGTTCGTTGCTGGACAGAGACACATGAGCTCATGAATGGGAATTCTCTTGGTACCTCCAGGGTAACAGGTTTCAGCATTTTCTAGCAAGATACCATTATCTCAGTTGTTTTCCACTGAGGAATATTCCTTCCTGGTCTAGCATTCTTTCTTTTATAGTTGTGTTATATTGACCAGTTTGTGTTCGTCAAAGAGGTACACACTGCTCTTGAACCTAGCATGACCAGCCGTGAAGGCAGAGCGTAGGCTGCGTGAGCAAACAAGCTGTATACATTTCAATCAGATCAGTAACCTTGCTCACCTTATTAAAACTTGGGTATATTTTTGATGTCTAACAACAGGAATTGAGAGTACAGTCTGTCTGTTGTCTAAGGCTGTTTTGGGGGGTTTAGCTTCTTTTAAATTTTTTTAAAATAGGTTTTTATTGATTTTTAGAGAGAGAAATGGAGAGATTGAAACATCAATTGGCTGCCTCCTGCACACCCCCTACTGGGGATCGAGCCCATAACCCACCCGGTCATTTGCCCTGACGGGAATCGAACCAGCAAATCGATGCTCAACCACTGAGCCACACTGGCCTAGCTTCTTGTAAATTTTGAGGGTGTCTTTGTTCTGTCTCAGGGTGCCGAAGCAGCCAATGTGACCGGCCCAGATGGAGTTCCTGTGGAAGGGAGCCGTTATGCTGCTGATCGACGCCGTTACCGACGCGGTTACTATGGCAGACGCCGTGGACCTCCCCGTAATGTATGTTGGCCTCTCTTCCTGATTGGTGATTGCAAAGATGTTCACATCTGAAACTGAGTGTACATACTTAGAGCAGATGAATACTGTGTCTTCTCTTGGCAACACAAACACAAAATTATCATTGTTTTTTTGTTTGTTTGTTTGTTTTGATGGGAAATTTTCATACCCAGAATTTATCCATAAACACTGGTCTCATTAGAAACTTGCCATTGAAAAGTTACATCAGTTCGTACTTGGCTGCATATAACAGACATTTAACCATCTTATAACAAGAAAGCTTAACTAAGGTAGGCTGTGCCAAGGTTGTCAAATAGGCATCCTCTTCATTGGGCTCTTTCCCGGGACCAGAACCTGGCTTTAGGGCATTCACTGGTGAAGGGGAATGGGATTTCTGGGATTGGCTCAAACCTGTGGCTCATCCCTTGCCACTGACACTGGCACTGCTGGTCTCTAAGAAAATCAGCGGTTGGTTGGCAAGGAAGAGTAGGGATAGCTTGGGAAGAGGCAATAAACAGTGTGGGCTGCAGAAATATTAAATTTGCCTCAAGTAAGTGGCTATTTTACTTAGCATAGCATTTACTTGATGTTAAAGTGTAGAAGTAGTAATTGTCTGGATTTATAGTTCTTCAGATTGGTTATCAATCCAGGTGAAAGGCTTACAACCAAGTCTGGCTAGAGCTTTCTTAGGAGGCGCAGTATCAATACTTTCAAAGCACCCAAAAAGAATCCCATTTATTTGTGGTCATGAGGATTCTATAAATTTGAGTCACTTTTCGATGTTTCTAGAATTAGTATCTGGGACTGGCACCATAGAATAAAACTCCAGATGTTTTGTGAGCACAGGGTTGTGGCTATGCTGGTCACCCAAGAAAAACTTGAAAAAAATCTCACCAGAATAAAATATATGCAGGTTGAGAATGATTTATCCCCATGCTTTGATAAGCTTACATCTTTCTGCTTAACAGAATGCTTTCCCCTTCATTCTGTCATCTTCTCACCCTGCCCAAATTGATTTTTATCAGATTGCTTATGGCATCTTATTTTCCTGTTTCTGTATTTTTCTTACCCACATTTTGCTTATTCTGTTGGTGTTTTTTTGTTTTTTTTTTCCAATAAGCTGTGCAGGAAGTAGAGGTAGGAATGAGCATTTACTATGTCAGGTTAACGCAAGTTCATCAGATTCATGGAGCTGTAGTTGTAATTATTTTGACTCCTAAGTTATTTCAGAAATACAGTGGTAGAACCTTTAGTGAAAATTTTCCCTTTAGAGACTATTCTCCTCAGCTGGAAATTTGAAGTAGTGCATGTAAAAGATATTTAGAAATGTCAAAATTCTGAAAGTGTACCTAAATGTTTTTCTGTTATAATGTTTTAAGTCCTTAGAGTTCAAGAGCATGTTTGTTAATGATGCTGCCATTATTCTCATTTTGTAAAAATGAGAGATTGTCTGTCTACAGCTCAAAAAGATACAAAAAGCCTAAAAGAAAAAAAAATGTATGAAGTCTCACACATAATATTTTGGTGTACATTTTTTCTGCTAATACGTCATTACATAATTGGGGATCACATCTGATTCAGGTTATACGAAGTTTATAATGGCTTGATTTTTCTGAAATTGGATGAGCTCAGGTTATTGTTGAAGCGTTTCCTGTTGGGGAATTTAGTTGCCCATGTTGGCTTGAACTGGACAGTTCTAAAACTTAAATATCCTCACCCTCTAGAAGAAATGGGTCATTATGTTAATTTTTAATTTAGCTATTTTTAATAACTATAGTTACTTCCCATAAGACTACTTTGGCATCTGCATATCCCACTTTAAAGTAAGATTTTAAATAAGTTTTTTGAGGGATGTTTGGCTATTAGCTTTTATTTTTAATATAAACTACTAGTATATGACACGGTAGTTGAAATACAGGAAAAGTTACATAAATGGGTCAATAATTTCCTTTGCCAGTAATACCTACATTTAAAAATATATGTATATTTTTTATTCAGAAAAGAAGGGAGAGAGAGAGAAACATTCATCAGCTGTTTGCTGGATGCCTCCCCACTGGGGATCGAGCCTATAACCCAGGCATGTGCCCTGACCGGTAATTGAACCTTGATCTCCTGGTTCTTAGGTTGACGCTTAACCACTAAGCCATGCTGGCTGGGCAGTAAGATCTGTATTTAGAAACTACCTGTATCTTTTACTTATTACTATCTGTTAATGTACAATTAAAACTTTATTCTTGAACATATAAAGAAAACCTAACTTTCTCCCTGAAAAGTATATATTTCAAAATTGAGTGAGAAGAGTGGGGTTGCTTGATGTTTTCTGCAAATCTCTGATGTTTGATTTAATAGAAGACAGCTGAGTCCTCATATCTCCTGCATTGAGTCTGCTGAGACTACATGTCATTATTGTTCTGGGAGACCCCACCACACTCTCATGAGATGATGAGATGGGAACAGGCAAATAGCATCCTCATAGCATTGTGAGAATAGTTGGACCTTGATAACCCCCTGAAGGGTTATGAAATAGCTGTACGAAGTATACTATATGGAACAAACTGTTCATAACATTACAAAATATATTTTTTCTTGACTGCCCTGACTTTGCCCCTGTGAATGGCAAATGTTGGGAGACACACATGTGGCCAAGGTAAATATTATAAACATTGTAGATGTTCTTTGGGTGGTTGGTCAACTGATACTTATCAATCCTAATTAGATGACTTAACATTATTATAGAGTGATTGCTTTTGCTTTTCTGCTTCTTGGTATTTTATCTGCATAGATCTACTTTAATCTGAATGTAGTTTATCCCAGGTTATCACATAATGATCTGGGTTAAATGCACTTCGTATAAAAAAAGGATTATTCCTTTTGGGAAGATATTTTTCTTTTGGTGATATTCACCCTAAGTGGTATTCTTTGGTTCTTTCCTTGCTGAAACTTCTTCTGAATCTCTGTTTCTTTGCTTCGCTAGTACGCTGGGGAGGAGGAGGAGGAAGGGAGCGGCAGCAGTGAAGGATTTGACCCCCCTGCCACTGACGGGCAGTTCTCTGGGGCCAGGAGTCAGCTGCGCCGCCCCCAGTATCGCCCTCAGTACCGGCGGCGGTTCCCGCCTTACCACGTGGGACAGACCTTTGACCGTCGCTCACGGGTCTATCCCCATCCCAACAGAATGCAGGTAAAATTGCACCTGGGACTTCTCTTCAGCAATCCTCACCCTTCCGTCCTTCCTCTGCCTCTTCCTCCTCCTCCTCCTCCTCCAACACCAGCCGCTGGAAACAAAACCTTGCTTGTGGGCTTCCTGGTGCTGCAAAAGCTGAGGCAAGGCCTTGAGTCTTTCATTCTAGGAACATTTCTGAAAGCACAACCACATGAGCCATGCCTATACTTGGGGACACTAGTGGATAGATTATAGTTTCTAGTTTATGGAAGAATAAAAGTAGAGAGGCCAGTGATATGTTTAAGAGCTTAAACTCTGAAGTCAGACAGACCTGGATTTAAATCTTGTCTCTGCTACTTATTATCTGTGAAATTTTGAGAAAACCAAACTTTAGAGAGATTAACTTATTCATACATTAAGTGGTAATAATAATGTGCCTCCACCATGGGGCTCACTATGATTAAATCGAAGGTAAAGACTTTAGTGTGGTGCCTCAGGATAGCTAACATCTATAAAGTCCTTAATTTAGGTGAGATGGTGTTGCTTAAGAAACCCTACCAGAGGGTGGGGATTGTTGGTTATTGATTTACTCCTCTTTTTTTAATCACAAAATATTGATACAACTATTGTGAACTTGACTTGTAATTATTGAGCCTTATAGCAACTTCCCAGTCCCTGGAAACTTGGAAAACTTAGGACAGGGCATCATTTTTGTTATCACTCGCTACAAATACTTCCTCTTAGTGTCCTTGGGTTGTTTTTCCACTAAGTGTTTTGACTGAACACTATGTTCAGTCTGTTCTTTGCTACCCTTCTCCTGTCTCATCATGCATGACTGTGTTCTTTCTACATTGCTTCTTGTTTTTTCTCTTCCACTCTTTAACAGCTGTCCCTGACAAACGTGCTAAAAATAACAAGTAGACTTGCGTATATGGAGAGCTTGGGTACAGGAGGCACAGGCATAGTAGGTTCCTGTAGGGCAGCACTTGGGGCTCCTAGGAGGACAGGAAGAGTAAGTGAGATTGTAATGCACATTTATTTTCAGTGTTGGTGGTACCTTCCTGAAGTAATCATTTTTAGTATTTAGCATATACACATGATGATTCTTTTCTGTATTTGAAATAAAGTATATTTCACCTTAGGATTTAAAGGTTGAGAGTAAAGTGAGTCTGGAGTGCCATGTAGAACATTATTTGCAGATGCTGGTTGAAAACTAATTTTTGAAATATATGCTTATTCTGATAACTGCATATAGTTTTTTAAACGTGGCCTGGATTTTTTTTTACTTTACGTTTCATATCTGAAGTAAAAACTGTCTTACACTTTTTCCAACCGTTTTCCTTATACTCTTTCTAATATACATGTTTGGATGTTCACTGAATGAGTTAAACAATAGCATCAAGTGAAAATTCCTGAAACTGCCTTCCATAAAACTAGGCTACTTCAAGGTTGTCAGTGTAATGACTTACAAGTACTGAGAGATCTCTAGATGGTAAAAATTACTGAGGTCATATAGAAAAATCTAAGATTTTCTACAATATACAAAAACTATGACATTTATTGGACACAACAGGGAAAACTAACACTATGCAGGCCAATAGTGTTTCCCTTATGTACCAAGAACATAATATCGCATGGTCAGTGACCAAATGACTTCCAGATTCTTAAAGATAATCAGTGTGTTTGAAAATTAAGTGGAATTGGTTACTGAGCTAATATCAAGTGTTTGTAGTCTTTGAGAAAATAAATATATGATAGAGGAAAGGGAGTACCATTGTTTGGCATCTGCCAAATGGTTGGCATTTGAAATCAGTTCTTACTCAGTTTTCCCTGCAGCTTTAAGTTGGTGTTGGGTTGCATATGGTTGTTTTGGTTGTTACAAATGAAGGGATTTGAGTACTTTAAAAAGTTAGAAAGTTTTGCCTAAGGTTACATGGGCAAGAAGTGGTAGAGCTTCAATCCATCTATGCATGCTTTTCCCACTTTCTCATTCTAGTCAGCTTTCATTCTCTATATGTGTTGCTCTTTCTGTCTTTTTTTTTCCCCCTAATCAAAGTTCCCGGGGAAGAACCAGGTTTGCGTGTTCAGAGAACGGAGGGGAACTCATGTGGCTGGGCTGGGATGAGTCAAGAGAAGACGGCTAGGGGCTCAGGGCAGACCAGGCATGCCTGATAGACCATGATAGGGACTGTTAACATACTCTAAATGTGATAAAAAGCCAATAAAGGAATCTAAACAGGGAAGAAATATATTTAAGTGATCATTGGACGGTTTTTAGAGGCTGGACCACAGGAGGCAACAAGTAGGAAGATGAGCTACTATGGAGAGGTCATTCCTGTGGAGAGATGATCATGGCATGGATTAGAGTGCTTGCAATGAAGGTGTCATAGGTGGTCAGATTCAGAAAATGTTTTCACCATGAAAGTGACAGCATTTGGTGCTGGAGTACATGTGTGCTTTTAGGAGTAGAGGATACCTCCAAGTTTTTTATTTAAACAAATATAGGAAGGGTGAAGAAAGATAATGCTTGGGAGAGAGGTGGGAATCATTTGGAGTCTTTTCTTCACATTATATTTTACCTCCAAGTGGAGATGTCAGGTAGGCAAGAAAATAAATAAATAAAATAAAACAAAGCAGAGTCAAGAGGCAGAAAGTGGCTCGAGTTAAGAAGGTTTCATTTTAAAGAAGTTGGTTGACAAAGTCTTTGGTGCTGTATTTGAGAAGAGACCTGGGGAGCAAGGCAGCGAGTTATTGGGGTACTGGGAATGGCATGCATGTCAAAGGGATTGGCAAGTACAAAGGCTGAAGGGAACCTGAAAAAGAGAAATGAGATTGTAGATATAACTTTGGAGTCACAAAACATTGAAAGGCATCATATAGGATGATATCCTATATAATAAAACCCTAATATGCAAATTGACTGAACAATGGAATGACTGGTCGCTATGATGCACACTGACCACCAGGGGGCAGGTGCTCAATGCAGGAGCTGCCCCCCGTGGTCAGTGTGCTCCCACAGGGGGAGCGCCACTCAGCCAGAAGCCGGACTCATGGCTGGCGAGTGCAATGGCGGTGTCGGGTGCCTCTCCCACCTCCACAGCAGCGCTAAGGACCCCTCAAGGGTGTCGGCTTAGGGCGGACATCCCCTGAGGGGTCCCGGACTGCGAGAGGGCACAGGCCAGGCTGAGGAACGCCCCCCCCCCCCACAGTGCACGAATGTTGTGCACCTGGCCTCTAGTTAACTATAAATGAGCATAGGTAGAGAATTGACCCTGGGAACGAGTTCTGAGGCATACCAACGGAAGATTAGGAAGATGAGCCTAGCAAATGACATGAGAAGGAGCAGGTAGGAAAAAAAAAGTATTTTTAGAAGGAAGTGCTGCCAAAAAATAGAGGAAGTTAGGTTGAGAATTGATTACTAGGTTTGGTAACTTGGGAGGTTAGTGATATGGTGAGAACAAAAATCTAGTCAGAGTGAATTCAAGAGCGAGCCAAGCGGGGGTGGGGGAGAAGAGGTATTTTCTTCCCTTTGAGGAGGTTTTTGTGGTGGTGATGGGTTTCCTTTAGCATATATTTCTGTAAAGGAGCTCAGAGAAATGGGGCAGTATCTGGAGGAGGATCTGAGGTTAGGGCAAGGTTTGGGGTTGATTTTATTTTCACATTGAGTTCTGTCCTGGTTTCCCTTAGCCCTTCCCTCACCAACTACTTACCCATGATGCATTAGATGGGCAGATCAAATGCCACACACACACACACACATTCATACATTCATACACTCATTTGTATATGTATAGTTTAGAGAGTGTGTGCATATATATTTGTATGTGGTGGTCCTTATTTCTGTTCACTGAAATGGCCTGAAATCAGTGACACCTTGATAGCATTGAGCTTCCTAAACACCATTCTCCAATGAAAGGAAGCTCCTTTCGAGAAATGGCTGATTTCAGATCTGAACCAGAGAAGGGACAATATGAACCTGGAACATCTTGTCGTGCCAGAAAGCAAGGAAGTACTCAGAGAATGTTGGAGACATGTCAAAAGGACATGAGGCAGCTTGAATGGGTTCCCATTGGCCAGTAATGATAGTAACAGATTATAACCCATTGAATGAAATAGAAAACCATGAGTCTGTATAGACAGATATAAATGAATGTATTGAGAATTTGATGAGGAATGAAATATTTATAGACTTTGAAATTACTTCACAAAATTCTTCTTAATTACAAAGGAGAAACGAGTAAACCTAGCCCTGGCCAGTGTGGCTCAGTTGCTTGAGCGTAGTCCTGTGCACCAAAAGATTGCTGGTTCGATTCCAGGTCAGGGCACATACCTAGGTTGCGGGCTCGATCCCTGGTCTGGGTGCATGTGGGAAGCAGCCAATCAATGTTTTCCTCTCACATCGATGTCTCTCTCCCTTCCCTTCTCTCTAAAAAAACAAATCTATAAAAACATATTTAGAAAAATAAAAAGAGTAAACCTAAAGCAGAGGAGCCTTAGAAGGTAGATACCACCTCATCCACCGCTCAACACCAACACTGTCAGTTGGGTGCAAATTGAAGCCAGACTCCACCTGGCAGGAGGCAGTGAGAAGAATGCAGTGTCACTTTTGTGGCTTCCCTGCCATCCACACATACACTAGAGCGTGGGAAACACCCAGCAACCCACACTGAGGTGTATTTTACAGAATATCTGGCTTGTAATCTTTTTTTTAACAATTTTATTTTATTATGTTTATATATTTTTGTTGATTTCAGAAAGGAAGGGGGAGAGAGCTAGAAACATCAAGGATGAGAGAGAGAGAATCATTGACCGGCTGCCTCCTGCACACCCCCCACTGGGGATTGCGCCTGCAACCCAGGCATGTGCCCTTGACCTGAATAGAACCCAGGACCCTTCAATCCATAGGTCGACGCTTTATCCACTGAGCCAAACCAGCTAGGGCTGGCCTGTGAGCTTTAAAAGTGTCCTTCACAGTCATGGAAACCAAGTAGAAATTGAATAACTATGTCAGAAAGAGAGACAGCTAAATTCAAGGCATGGTGCTAAGTGAGTCTTTTTGCTATAAAGGACATTATTGGTGAGACTTGGATGGGGTCTGAGGATTAGATTCTACAAGTTTGATTATTTCAAAATAAAGTAATTGAAAACTATGGGTGTTATTTCTGCATGTTCATGGGCTGGGTGGGAATGATGGAGCAGAAAGGGGAGAAAATACACAGTGAAGGGGGATAAAGAGTAAAACTCCTCTAGGATAAAGAGAGAGGGGTTGGCCATGGATATGAGCTTGGACCACTTAGCCAGTGTAATGAGAGAGAAGACAATTATTATAAATACTAGTATAGGTAGCTTAGTAGATTCTGTAGTGAAAGAATGTAGACGATATTTTCTGATTGCTTCTTAGTGAAATATGGAGAAGGAAGGGATGTTAGTTTTGAGGGGGGGGGGGAAGATGATTGACATTGTGACTATTGTAATGAATTTCAGAGATTGTTGGCATTTCAGAGGTCGGTAGGTGGGCTTTTTTATTTTAGTTTTTAGTTATTCTTCCTCTAGAAGTTCTACAATAAAATTATTTCCCACAGCTTACAAAAAATTTATCATCAAGAAAGTGTACTTTATTTTTAAAAAGTTATACTTAAATAGTGCAAATAGAGACACGGAAGAAATTGTGAAAGGAAGAAATCAAAGGTGAAAGCATGGTTATAAGGTGTGAGAGAAACTTCGAATGTAGAAACCATTAGTGATATTGAAGGGATACCCAGTTTGTAGAGTTAGTGGGTCTGAGTTTGAACAGATTCTCATTGCTCAAAAGTAGTAGGTTTTCTTTGAAGAGATGAATGGAGCACTTTAAATGTTAAATTAACATTGTGAAATGACTTTAGTTGCTCTGGAACAAGGCGGAATACTGCCCTAGTGGGAGCGAGTTTTTCTTTTCTTTTCTATCCTTCACAAAGATCTAGTCAGTAAAAAGTTCACTGTTACAGTTGAGCGTTCTTGCAGCTTTGTAAGGAAGCGTTTTTATTTCTTTTCAAAAAAATTCTGAATACAACCGTGTGCTCTGTGTTTCCTGTATCCTGTAGCACGGCACTCATTTTCAGCCCTGTTCCCTTCTAGGCTGGTGAGATTGGAGAGATCAAGGATGGAGTCCCAGAGGGAGCTCAACTTCAGGGACCGGTTCATCGAAATCCAACTTACCGCCCAAGATACCGTAGGTACGTCACATTTCACTAAGGCGTGATCAGCTGAAGGCCTCGGGAGTGACGGTAGAATGTGTGAGGGTGTTGTGGGTCTGTTCTGAGGATTTATTATGTAATAGAAGATGTGCCTCCTTTCTTTCACTATGTGTCCAAGTTTAGGGGAGACTCTGCAGTATATGTTTTCAGATGGCCTGTGACTCTTCCCCCTTACTTAAATAATTATAACTTTTAGTTATCCCAAAGCATTATTTGTATTTGATAGCATTCTTATTTTTTAATTATAAATTAATACTTATTTTTAAATTATATTTAATGAAATAAGCAGAAATTAATTGATGAGTAATTCACTGGTAGTGCTGCAAATGGAGGGAGATTGAGTGCCAGAGAGTATTTGGGATACTACATATTCTGTTAACTGAGCCAATCTAGTGTAAGGCTTAAATCAGGCTACAGATCACACTGTTTCAATTCCCACCCTGCAGTTGGTAGCTATAACTCCTTTGACAGGTTTGCGAAATCTCTAAGACTTAGTACTAGGCCTATAAAATGGACATTAAGGACTATTCTACAGTTGTCAGGGTTAAACGTATAAAGAAGCATCTACCTAAGATAATTAGTGTGTGGCCTGGTTTAGTAAGTGCTCAGTAAATATGACCACCCGTGATGTTAAAGTTAGTGAAGGAGCGGGTTATTTTATTTGTGCTCTGTCCCTGTAAAGACTGCAAGTTGAACTAGATTCCCTGAGAGCCTTTTCAGCTTTTTGTATTATAAGCCTTCCTGTTTGTTTGTTTAGCCTGTCCTTGAGGTAAGTGAAGAAGCATCTTCATTCCTGAATCACACGTAGACCACCGTGCAGTTCGGCAATAGGGGTTTATTGAAAGGAGAGTACTAGTAAGTGTGGTATTTGGGGAAAGGATTTGTACCACTCGGCATCCTTTTTTCTCCCAAGTCATTCCAGTTTTAGGCATAATCACTCTAAGGATTGATTACTAAGGACTTTCAAATAAGAGAGACTTCAGAGAAATGTCTTCATGAAAACTGAGGAGACAGGACAGTGTTTGAGTCCAGCTCTGTCAATTCCTAGCTGTGTGATCCTGGCAGAGTTACAGTTGACCTTTTTGACCTATAAAAGCAGCCATCCCATGTGATTCAAACAAGTACTTTCTCTCTCTCAACCTGTTGGCTTTCTCACTGTGAATCTGACGCACAGAATTGGTGTTGAAATTAAATCACTTAACGTGTAAACACTCCAGCACAGGCTCTGGCACGTGGTGGGTGTTTTCTTCCCATGTTTAATCCCCATAGTCTCCACGAAGCTCTGTTCCTGGAGGGCAGACACCAGACCACTTTTCTTCTTTGGTTTTCCTCTCCTTAGTGCCTATCAGAGTGCCTGGTAGGAATTTAGTATGTGTTCAGGATATGTTTATTCACTACAAATAGGTATTCAGATGAAAAGGGGAAAATAAATGGTGGGGTTTTTTCCCCACCAAAACTTTGTTCCATTTGCTGCATTAGCCTGTGCATACTTCTAGTAATAAGTACCCGGTCACTCTGACTTTTTAATCTCTAAACATGAATGAAATCTATGTTCTTGAGAGTCCCTGTCTCGTTGCACTTTTTCTCTCTTTGTTTTGTGATCTCTGTTCTAGGGGACCTCCTCGCCCAAGACCTGCCCCAGCTGTGGGAGAAGCTGAAGATAAAGAGAATCAACAAGCGGCCAATGGTCCAAACCAGCCATCTGTTCGCCGCGGATACCGGCGCCCGTACAACTATCGGCGCCGTCCCCGTCCTCCTAATGCTCCTTCACAAGATGGCAAAGAGGTAAATCCAGCCAGCCGGAGCGGGTGGTACCAGGTCATTCTTAATCATGTCAAACTTCAGTATCTATTCTAAGAGTGGTTTTCTAGTCTGATAGCCTATACTTAAATATATGTAATATATAAAAATATGTATATTTACATATAATCGTTTATGTAAAATGTTATTTATAAATAACATATAATTATTTACACATAACATTTTATATATAAGTAGTATCTATTCACATATATTTTCTATATATCTATATGTATATTAACATTTTGCTTAAGGTCCATACATATATATATAGAGTATATTCTGCACATAACACAAAAACCAAATATTTGAGTTTAACTAAAGTGACATTCTTTGAAAGAATTATCCATCCTGGTGGGGACTCAGAGCCAAAAGGTTTAGGGCTGTCCAAATAAAGGACCGCATTTATAGAGAGGAACCCGCCTCTAGGTGTGTGGAAAGTAATTGCATGTCATAGGCTTTTTGTTATGGAGAGTGGCCGTGTTTAATTTGCTATTTGGAAGTCATTCTTTGTGATACGGATTTTTGACTCATACTTGAGATGGCGATTTGCCTCCATAGACAAGAGGACTCCAACTTTGGAGACTTTAGTCTTGAACTTTCCGCTGTCACCTGAATTGCTTCATTTCTGGTTTGTGATTTTGTTCTGTTTTAGACCAAGGCAGGTGACGTGCCATCTGAGAACCCTGCTCCGGCCACCGAGCAGAGCAGTGCTGAGTAACACCAGGCTCCCCAGGCACCTTCACCATCACTAGGTAAGAGCTTGGGCAGCCCAGGCTTATATTGGGCGGGGAGGGGTGTGTGTGTGTGTGTGTGTGTGTGTGTGTGTGTGTGTGTTATTTTTAAGTCATTGATTTCTCAACCAGAGCACAAATCAGTCTAAACTAGTTCTGTGATTTACCTGGACCATCCCCTCCTCTCCATTGGAATTTTGAAGAAAGAGTGGTTTTTGAGATGTACTTTTTTTTTTTTTTGCTAAGCTTTAGGGACATAAGCATTCAGAAAGTTAATGAGAGCCAAATTTTTTTCTAGACAGTTTTTTTTGTTTTGTTTTGTTTTTAGACAGACAGTTTTAAACTATTATAGTATTAATATGGTATACCAATAAGAAAGTTTTTGGAAGTTTTACTTTTGTGACACCTAGTGGCCAATTTGATCAGTTTCAAGTGCCTGACCAGGCCTTATTTTAATATCTGGAGACTGATTTGTAGAATAAATTAGAGGGTGTTTTTCTTCCCTTTTCCCTTTGACAAGCAACATTATTCATTTGGAGGCAGTGGGGACAATGTGTTGTAGGAGCCAAAAGGCCTGTACATCCAGTGCAGGATCTACTGCTCATTTGCTAGGTGATCTGGAGCAGTTCGTTTACCCTCTGCCTCGGCAATGTCTGCTGCTGGGAAAATGGGAACACCAACAGACTATCCACCAAGGTCCTTGCAAAGACTTAATGAGATAACACCTCTGAAGTGGTTAAACAGAGCGGTAAAGAATAACCTCTTTGTACAGGTTAGCTTGTTAATCTTCATTGGTTTCATTATTGTGTCCTGACTGTTCTCGCTTATAAAAATATTTTATGAAAGAGTTTCCATTAAATCAACGTACAGTTTACAAATCTAGAGAAGATAAACATGTACCTTTTGCTTAGAGCTTTTGAAATACTGGGTTTTTTTTTATTTTCAAGAAAACAGGCTATTTTTGTCTTCTTATTCTTTAACTCTTGGTCATTTTGCCACTTTTTCTAAGTTTGACTTTAATTTTTTCCAGGTGACCTAAAGAATTAATGACCATTCAAAAAATGAAACTAAAAGCAGACACGACCTTACCAACACCAAAGAAACATCCAAGCAATAAAGTGGAAGACTAATAACCAAGATGTGGACATTGGAATGTTTACGATTATTCTTTATGAAACAAGTACAAAATGAGAATGTCAGCCAATGTTTCCAGCAATTTTTCTGGAATGCCTGCACAGAAGACAAGAGAGCAACCTCCCCAGTTTCGGCAACCACTAGGTTTATATTTTTTTCCTGGTTTTTACTGTTTTGGTAATATGAATTGAAAGAAGAAATATTAATACCACATGGGGAGAACCCCAACCAAAGAAATCTGAAATATATAGTAAATGCTTTTTTGTTCCCTTTTCTAGTTCATTTTGGATGCTGGTGCTAAACTTCCAAGTGTCGTGATTTAAAAAGAAATTTTATGCTCTTCTTATTTATTTCTAGATGAGGGGAGGATAACATTTTTGCTTTCTTATGCGACTCTCTGAAAATGTGCAGCATGAAGTTCCTCAAAAATAAAATTTTTACCCTTGAAAGGAGAAGGTGTATAACTAGAGTATGTTTTCCTGTCTCGGCGTATGTTTTGTCTCCCCCCCCCCCCCCCCCCACTTAATTCATTTGACTTAATAGTAAGCTCAAAACCAAAAGTAAAGGTGCACTCGTGCTATTTAATAAATGTAGGCATATGCGTTTGAGATGGTGGTAGATGCGTTTGGAATGTGCATCTGGGAATGAACAAGTTGGTGTCTGAGTTCAGCACTTAGGCATCCTTTTGTTTTTCTGGTCCTCTGTATCTTTTGAGTAATCTTCACTGAGGTGAGTGGATGGCACGCAGGTTAAACTGCTTCCTTTAGATTGATGGAAGAGTTAGTTCTGACATCCTTCAGCTTCTAACCTGAGGTTGTATTGTATGTTTATATGTGTATCTTTCAGAAAGAGGAACGGAGGCTCTTTGCCACCACATTAGAAATTTCTTCCCCCAGAGAGTAGATAGTACCTCCAAGTTGAGAAACCAAGGCATATATCAGTGCTGTGTAGATAATGTCTCAGACCCACTGCACCTTCAAATTTCTTGTACTTGACTCAGTACATATTGAGCCTAGCGTTGTGCCAGGCACCATTTAGTGGCTAGGAGGGAAAAAAATGAACAAAAGATTCTAGTTGCAATGAACTTATTATATTTTAGTGAGTGATATAGAGAAAAAGCAAATATGTAAACAAATGTGTAATGACAAATGTTACAAGGGAAAAATCAAAAGTAAAGGGATAGAAATTGGCATAATTTCAGGAAGTATGTTTAACTAGAGGGAGAGGGGTCTTTTCTAAATGATAATAGAATATATACACGGAAGATCAATAACCACTTGAATATCTTGAGAGAAGAGCATTCCGGGTGGGGAGGGGTGGGTTTGGGGGGAGTAACTCTGAGGGACCATATGGGCCTGTTGAAAAAACAGCCAGCAGGAGAAAGTGGATTGCTCAAGAGTATTGCCTTGCAAGCTTAAAAAGAAATCAAAATTGGTAATATGTACAAGGCAAAAATATTCAAAGGTATAAAAAATACTTCATAGAAAAGTCTTCAATTTCAGTCCTGATTCCCTCAAGGCAACCAATTAGCGTGTGTGTGTGTGTGTGTGTGTGTGTGTGTGTGTTTAAATACTTCTATTTCAGATACTATGTTTGTGAGTGTGGCAAAAGATTGGTAAACATCCAAAAACTGACCCAAATTCAGGGAGAGGGAAGAGGTTTTAACTGAGGTTACCCTAACCATTTAATAATCATTAGAAATAACTTTTTAAAATTCTGTGGATCTCTGCACTCCAACTGGTCCTTGTTTAAATGTCTTAACAATGTGCCATGTACTGTACTTTTGGCACTGAGTTTTGTTTTCACCCAATATTTTTACTGCTTTTTTCTATAATTTTGTTCTCTTACTATTGGATATTGAGGGCTTTTTAAATTGCAGTTATAAACACTTTATCTCATGTAATTCCAAGACCTTTGCTTCTAAATACCATCTGCTTCAGGGTTACAGCTATTTCTACAGAAAAAAATTAATGCACAGTTGGGAATAATAGTCTTGGCTTAGGTCGTTGACATGAGTACAAACTGAAACACGTTGAAAATAAACAAGAAATCACATGATCTCACTTATTTGTAGAATCTAATGAACAAAATGAATTGCCCAACAAAATAAGACCTGAAGCAGGGAGGCATGGAACAGACTGACATACCTCAATGTGGGTTTGGGGTAGGTGGACGAGAAGAGATAAACCAAAGAACTTATACTTACATGCATAGCCCATGGACCTGGGTAATTGGGTAGTGAAGTCCTGGAGGAATGGGTAGGGGCTGTGAGCAGGGTGGGTAAAGGGGGGAAATGGGAGATAACAGTAATACTATCAACAATAAAAATACACAGGAAAGAAGACAATTGGATATGATTTGAGGATGGGTCTGAAATAAGTTCTTTCACAGCAGGGGATCAGGGACTTGAACTGTTTACCAAGAGACACAGGCTACCTGGGTGATAGCATAGCCAGAGATGAACTAGAAGACTGGCATACCATGGTCACACATTAGCTGTGATTGATATTTGAAGCTCATGAATTTTGCATATTTGTTGGAACAGCGCCTATTCAGAAAGTAGCCATGTACCACTGAAATATTTGAGTGCCTACTATTTGCCATGAATGATCTGGGAGCTTTCATATCACAAATACCTCAGCCAGATCAGTATCATAGGGGCTCCAGTTTTGAATGCAAAGAGGCAGTTTTTGAAAGTACTATTGCTCCGTGTGGAGTGAAAATGTATTTATAAAGGCTAATACTTTGAGATTTGAAGTAATGAAGTTCTTTAGGCTTAGAGTTGACACAGATTAAAGCTTCTGGGAGCTAATAGTACTTGGTTTCAACTGAAAAGAGGAAAAATCTAGACTCCAGAGGGGTGATTTTTTTATATCTCTATATATAAAAGCCTAACATGCAAATAGATTGAACAGCGGAACAACCAGTTCTATGACGTGCGCTGACCACCAGGGGGTGCACGTGAAAAATGGCAGGCGGCAGAGTGAAGAACATGGCGGGCATTGTCAGCTGCGGGATGGTGGAGCAGGTGAGCAGGGGGCACCAGACCAAGGCGGGGCGCCAGTCGCTGTCATCGGGGTGAGCCTCTGTTGGTTACTGAAAATTCTTTGCTCCCATGCGCCACAGTCCTGCTGAGTACTTGCACCTGGTGTCAGAGCCACTGCTCGCACTTGCTGCCAGTGCCTGGTGCCAGTCCCAATCACTCAGCGCCATCAGTGGGTGTGAGCAGCAGCTGCCCCAATTGCCCCTGAGGGCTTCTCCACCTCCCCCTGCTCCTGAGGGGCGATTGGGGCAGCTGCCGCTGCTCGCACCTGCTGATGGCACTGGCCCCGCTTGCTCCGCGCCATCAGCACTTGGGAGTGGGGCTGCCGGCAGAAAGGGACCGGGGGCTGTGGCAGGCGGGGCAGGGTGGGGGTGTGGAGGATGGGCCGAGACCTGCCCCTGTGCCCACCGCAGCCTCGCAGCCCACAGTTCCTTTCAAGGTGTACAAATTGGTGTACTGGGCCTCTAGTTATGGTATAAGTGTCTTGTTCAATAGGAAAAATCAGGAAAGGAAATAGGTGCTGATATAAATCTCTGAAAATAAGTTGATCTTGTCAGTGTCAAGGGTAAGACTTCATCAACTTTGTCTTTTCCTGGGGTTTTATCTGGTAAACTAGCTCGATTTCATTCTGCAATAATTTCAAGATTTTAAAAGCCTTTACATGGTAAGATTTGCTTATTGGAGAGATCACTGTAGCAGCAATATGGGAGATACGACAGGAATGGAGACCAGTTAGAAGCCTATTTTCCAAAGAGGACATACAGATGGCCAATAGACATGTGAAAAAATGCTCACCGTTATAATCATCAGAGAAATGCACATTAAAGCCACAATGAGATCACCTCACACCTGTCAGGATGGCTATCACTAATAAATCAACAAGTTCTGGCAACGATGTGGAGAAAAGGGAAGGAACCCTTATGCACTGTTGGTGGGAATGCAGATCCTTGCAGCCACTGTGGAAAGTAGCATGGAGTTATCTCAAAAAATTAAAAATGGGACTGCCTTATGACCCAGTAATTCCACTTTGGGAATATATCCTAAGAAACCCAAAACACTATTTTGAAAGAATACATGCACGCCTAAGTTCATTGCAGTGTTATTTATAACAGCCAAGATGTGGAAGCAGCCCAGGTGCCCCTCAGTAGGTGAGTTGATAAAAACCCTGTGGTACATTTATACAGTGGATTACTACTTGGCTACAAAAAAGAAGGAAGTCTTACCTTTTGCAGCAGCATGGGTGGACCTGAAGAGTATTATGCTAAGTGAAATAAGCCAGTCAGAGAGAGGCAGAGACCATATGATTTCCATTATATGTGGAATCAATGAACAAAATTAACAAAATAGAAACAGACAGATACAGAGAACAGACTGACAACTATCAGAGGGGAGAGGGGAGAAGCGGAGGGTGAAAAAGGTGAAAGGATTAATAATGATGATAATAATAATAATTACAATAAACCAGAGGGAAAGGGGAATAGGGGAAGATAAGAGAGAGTAAAGTGGGCAGGGATAAATGGTGATAGAAGGAAACTTGACTTTGGGTGGTGAACATACAATACAATATACAGATGATGTATTATAGACTGTATCCCTGAAAATTATATAGTTGTATTAACCAGTGTCACCCTAATAAATTCAATAAAAAATAAAATAATAATTACACACACAAAAAAAGCCTATTACCATAATTCAGCCAAGAAAAGAGGGAGTGAACTCAAGACAATAGGAAAATAGAAAAGAGGGATGATAGAGATTTAAAAGATAGAAGGACTGCCCTAGCCAGTTTGGCTTATTGGATAGGGCATCAGCCTGAGGATTGAAGGGGCCCAGGTTTGGTTCCAGTCAAGGGCACATGCCTCAGTTGCAGGCTTGATACCCTGCCCTGGTCTGGACTCATGCTGGAGGCAACTAGTCGATCTGTCTCTCTCACATCAATGTCTCTCTCTCCGTGTCTCTCCCCTTCCCTTCCACTCTCTCTAAAAAGCAATGGAAAAATATCCTTGGGTGAAGATTAACAAACAAAAATTTTAAATAAAAGGTAGAAGGACTGTACTTAATGCCATATGATGGAATGAAATGGGCTGAAAAAAGTAGTAAGTATTGATGCAACATTTCGGAGCTTTCTAATTTGCAGTTAAGTGGATGTGGTACTCAGCTTGAAGCTTATAGCCCCTTAGGGAGATAAGAAACTTTTCTGAAAATCATACTCAGAGAGAGGGGTCCCCACTGGGGTGCCTGGCCAGCCTGGGTGAGGGGCTGATGGCTGTTTGCAGCTGGTCACACTCCCTTCAGGGTGAGGGTCCCCACTGGGGTGCCTGGCCAGCCTGGGTGAGGGGCTGATGGCTGTTTGCAGCTGGTCACACTCCCTTCAGGGTGAGGGTCCCCACTGGGGTGCCTGGCCAGCCTGGGTGAGGGGCTGATGG